CCGGCGACAGTCGTGTCCCTCTGCTCGGAGGCTGCGACCGCCGCCTGCACGACGGGCACCAGCCTGCCGCCGAGGTCCTTGAGGATCAGGTCGGAGGCGATGGCGGCGAGGAAGCCATCCTCCTCCTCGTACACGAGCCGCACCGCCTCCCCGCCAAAGAGCGGCCGCGGCGCGTCCGCATCCTCGCCCGCGCCGCCGTGCGGCCGGTAAAGCGACACGCGCAGCGCCGCCTTCTCGAGCGTGGCCGACACCTCGCGCCTCCCGTCGGGCATGCGACCGGCGCGCTCGACGCGGAGCCGCAGCGAGGTCTGCACGTGCTCAAGCACGATCGGGTCGCCGAGCCGCACCCGCTCGCCCTCGGACTGGATCCTCAGCCGAGGCATCACACGGAACCACGCCGCATCGCCCGCGGCCTCGCTCTCCACCACGCGGCGGCCCTCGCGGTTGAGGAGGGCGGCCTGCCGCCCGACGGCAACGGGGACGTCCGTCACGGCGTGGTGCAGCTGCACCACCTGGCCGTACCGCACCTCGCGGCCGGCGATGCGCGAGAAGGAGGCTCGGTTCATCTCCTCCTCCCTCTCCACCGCAGCCTGCGCGGCCATCAGCGCCGGGTCTGCCGCCATCTGCTCGGCGGTCTTGTTCTCTTGCTCGAGCATGGCCTTGAGCTTCCTCGCCGCGACATAGTTCTGCTGCGGCTTGACGACGAAGACGGACTCATGCGAAAAGGAGGCGGGCGGCGTCGGCGAGCTGCAGACCCCGAGCTGGCCACGACGCGCCGACACGAAGCCGCCCTCGCCCTCGGAGGAGTCGACGGATACGAGGAAGATGGCGTCGCCCACGCGGAGGAAGGCTGCGGGAGTCACCGAGGCGGACGACATGAGCGCCAAGGCTGCTGCGCAAAGGCGGCCGCGCCTTGCCGCGCCTTGATTTACCTGCTCGAGTCCGGGAGAAGAGAAGGGCCGCCGTGAGATTTTCTCTTTTTTGTTTTCGGCCCGGTTCTTCTTCTTCTTCTTCAACAATGGCGACCGCACCTCCAAGCACAGCGGGGTGCTGCAGGCCGCCCAGAATGCCATCCGGGGCGCGCTCGGTCGGCAGCATCATCCTCGGGGACGAGGAAGAAGTGACGCAACACCTCAACGACACGTCCGCATGTTGTTGTCCGCATGTGTGAGTGTTAGAGTTGTTTGGTATTGCTAAAATCTCTCTCACCACTCACGTCCGTCCGTGACCGAGCGACATCTGCTCGGCGTCTCGCGATTTCGCCACGATGTGGGACGTGTGTTTTGGGACGTGCATTACGAGGTCAAGTGCTGGAAGTGGAACCCGCTCATCAAGTCGACGACGGCGGGGAGGGGCTCGTGGGACAATGGTTGCAACGTGGCGTCGGTGGGCCACATCTACGGGTTTGGAAACACGCTAGACAAGAGGCGTTGACGGGGGTCGTGGGGGTGCAAGGAGCGTGGCCGTCAGGTGGACGGACCGCTCGATCACTCGACTGGGAAAGGATGGGTGGGTCAAAGAGAAAGACCACGCGGACGGAGACGGGTCACGGGTGGGGTGGGTCAAGAAGAATGCAGGCTGGAAAGTGGATGGGGGCGCAGTACTACAACGCGAGGTGGGTCAAGAAAGCCATAACGCGGCTGGTGCTCGTGTGGCTGCAGCGGCGGACGACGCCGCCAACCAACATGAACAAGCAAAAGAAGGGCATTGATTGAGCGTAACCAATTGGGAGAGAGAGAGACCAATTGGTCAAGAATAAGCAAGCAAGCGGCACACCGCGGCTTCTTACTTACTTACTACTCGTACGCTCGACCAGAGAGAGAGAGAGAGAAGATATTTCGACCACAGTCAGTGGGGGGATAGAGTGAGTCTCTTGTGTGTGTGTGTACCGCGTGGATGGAGGGTGCCGCCTAGTTAGTTCCGCCGCACGGATTTATTTACCCTTCATGTAATTCCCACCGACGCTGTCGTGAGAGTGAGATCGCTTAAAGAAAGAAAGAGAACAGACAAGCAAGCCAAGGAAGGGATGCGGATGGGAGGGACACATGCTGTGACAGGTTTCTCTCGTTCCCGTGTACCTACCTGTGTTAGTGCCTGTGCGCGCCAGTCCCGTGCCCAGCGTATAAATAAATAGAGCAGAGAGATGGGCGACGCACGAACACAGAGGCACAGCGCGCACGGCGCACCCCGCAGCGGAGCAAATGAATTTTTCTCCTCGCCAACCACGTCAGTCAGCCAGCGACCGATGGGGCCGGCTGGGCTGCTCGTCGCTGTCGCTGCCACAGTCAAGCCGAGCGCGCACGCTCAGTGCGCGGCGTGCGCCCGCGTCACCAGCTTGCTGGGCGATCTCTTGAATCGGACCAAGGAGTCGCTCGAGGTGAGCCGGCGCGTGCACGAGGAGGCGGCGACCAAGATACAAAAGGCGCAGACAAAGAGGTGGCTGAAAAACGAGTACCACGTCGCGCTGCGGGCTGCGATCGAGGAGGAGATGGACATGGTGTGCAAGCGCGACGAGCTGGTTGCGACAAGGGCTCTCTCGCTCGCGTGCGCCGAGCTGATCGATCGTCAAGTTGACGAGCTGCCTCGCGCCATCCTCGACGCGGACGCCGGCTTCTGCGCCAAGGCGGTCCCCGGGTGCGACAGCGAGACGATGGAGGCGTCCGCCCGCGCCTTCACCTCGTCTCTGCGCAGCGAAGCGCCGCCGGCCGCCGGAGAGAACGCCACCGCCGACGGACTCGTGGCGAGGCTGGTCGGATCGACTATCAACCGGTGGGTGCACGCGGCGGGCGCGAGCGGGCACGCGCTGGTGATGCTGCACGAGGGGCCTCGCAGCGCGCCGGCCGATGGCGCGGCCGACCCGGTCGCCGCTCTCTTCTACCGGCTCGCCGCGGCAGCCAACGGGTCGGCGGCCGCCAGGCCGCTGCTGCGGTACGGGCAGCTCGACGTGGCGGCGAACGACCCGCCCGTCGACACGCCGCCGCCTCCCTCGGGCGCGGGCTCGCGCCTGGTGCTGTGGAGGCGTCAGGCGGGCACCGCCGCGCCGCCGGTCGCGCTGCCCGAGCCGGGCGAGGACGGGCTCGGAGGGCGGAGCGACGAGGAGGTGCGCACGCGGCTGCTGCAGTGGCTCTCGTCGACGCTAAACACGCACGAGGGCGGCGCGCTGCGCGGCGCGCTGCAGCTCTCGCTCGTGCGAGAGCGGCGCGAGGCCAAGGAGTCTGGCTCGGCAGGCTCCACGGAGGTGGCCGAGGCCAAGGGCGGCAAGGGCAAGGGCAAGGGCAAGGAGAAGCCGCCGCCGCGCCGCAAGGCAAAGGCGAGCGAGACGAGGCCTCCGGCCGCGGTGGCGCGGGCGCAGGAGTGCGAGCTGTGCGGCCTCGTCTTCGAGCGGATGGAGATGACCCTCTCCTCGACGCGCGCGGAGCTGGCGCTCTCCAAAGACGCGGCGGAGCGGAGGCAGGCGCAGATAGACGGCGTGCAAAAGGCGCAGACCCGGCGCTGGCTCAAGCTCGAGTACGCGCAGAACCTGGCCGCGGCGCTGGAGGACATGGTCGACGGCATGTGCAACGGCGTCGGCCTCAAGAACGCCGCCTGCAAGCCCGAGCCCACCGGCGAGCCGCAGCGCTGGTCCGACGCGGCGCTGCGGCGAGGCGGCGGCGGCGGCGGCGGCTTTGACAAGTCGACCTGCGAGGCGCGGGTGGGCGCTCGCTGCTCCGCGCTCGTCGACGCGGCTGCAGACGCGCTGCAGCGTGCCGCGCTCGACGGCCGCGACGCGACCGCTTGCGCTTCCCTCCTCCGGGGCTGCTCGGTCGAGACGGCGCAAGCGTTCAACCACAGCTATACCCCCGACGGCGACGCGCCGCCACAGGGCAATGCGCCCAAGGACGAGGTGTGAGGAGGGTGAGAGTGCGCGTGCTAGTGGCGACTGCTCGGCCCGATCACGGCATGGCGGTGCTCGACGGCAAGCTCTACACTTCGGGGGGATTCGACGGCGACTCCCTCAGCTCGGTGGAGCGACCACACTCGACGGTACGACGGTACGACCCGGCCGAGAATGTGGTGGCGTCTACTTCCGCGGACGGTGGTGAGATCGATGGCTCTAGGTTGGGATTTTCTTTTTGAGAGCAGCGGGGCTTTCCTCGTGATTGCAAAAACACAACCCCCCGGAGGAGCCATCTAGCATCTTCTGCGTGTTGTTTCCCACGCAGTAAAACTCCCAAAAACATGCAACCACCCCTTTCTCTGACTCAGTGTACACAGCGGGTCACAAGCGGCTTGTCTTTTCCCGCGCTAATTCGAGAGAAATGCCCAGTAAAAAGAAAGAAAACGCACACTGCAAGGGAGGGATGGGATCGTGCCCAGTGTCGTGCGAGACGCACTTGGAGCACTTGGAGTGCAGTCGGCAACCTCACATCCAGGGCCGGGGAGCTAAGAAGCGCTCACCCTTGCGAAAATTCTTTTCCTCAAGATTCCTTTCGTAAGATTCTTTTCCGTGCGAGGGAGTTTTGTTGTAAAATTGCCTTCTTTTCCTCATCGCGCCCTCTTCCTCTTCGTCGTCCTCGTCCTCAGATGGCGGCCTCCTCCTCGGGCACTGTCACCATCTCCCTGCTCTCAAGCGACGACGAGCAGCGAGGCGAGCAGGACGTGCCGTCCGCAGACTCGCCATCCGCTTCTGTCGCCGCCGCCGAGACTGCGGCCGAGCGCAGACCCGTCGCAAAGCGGAGGCGGCGCAGAGGCGGCGGTCGCAGTTGGCGCCGCCGCGCGGGCGACGCCTCTGCCTCGTCCACTCGCGCAGAGGACGGTGAGGCTGCCGCTGCGGCTGAGCTCGCCTCCGGCACCTCTGCCACCGAGCTGCGCGCCGCTCTCCTCGCCTTCGGTCTCCGACCCGGAGGAGGAGCCAAGCCGGCGCTGGCGCTTCGCCTGCTGCGAGCCCGCCGCGCCGCCGCGGTGAGCGAGGAGCGGTACGGCGTCGCGGCGAGCGACGATGCCGGGGCGGTGCCGCCGCCCGAACTTAGGCACCGAACTGTGAACAGTGCCGACGTTCACAGTTGAAGCTGTGAACAGATGGCGGCTCTCCGCCCGCGCTTCGACGGCGAGCGGTCGGGACACGTGCGCGCTGCCGTGGACGGGTGCCAAACTCTGTGTGCAGTCTCGGCTGTATCTCGGCTGTATCTCGTCTGCATCTCGGCTGTATCTCGGGCAGGTGCCGGCTGTGCGGCGGTGCAATCCGACCGCCGAAAAAGACCTTCTGCTGCGACGAGCGCGTGTTCACTCCCGCCCTGCCGCTGTTCAGTCCGTGAAGAGGCGCCGTTCACGGCGTTGGCTGCGGGCAGGCGCGTCCGCTTTCTCGTGCCGCCGAGAGAGCGAGGAGATGTCACAGATCTGGGCTGAGAGCAGGTGCGTCCACTTCCACCTCCTGCGGACCTCGGGCCCGCACGTGCGGAAGGCACTCGCCCTGCGAGACGGGCGGAGGTGCGCGCTGTGCGGCGTCGACTGTGGCGCGAGATTAGCCGGGATCTGTAGCCGGGATCTGTAGCCGAGGTCGGCCGAGGTCAGCCGCGGTCGGCCTCCCCTCTCCTTGGCTTTGGTTGTGGGATCCGCTCTGAAGGTGATAGCACGGCGCCTCTTTCACACACCGGATCGCGCTTGTAAGCAGGCGCGGCGTATACGGCGGCGGGGCGGGCGGTGCGTGCAGCGGCGGCGGAGGCAAGGGCGGCGGGGCAGGGCGGCGAGGCGATCGCGGCTGTTTTCTTTCCCCTGTCGACCCTCTCTGGCTCGGAGGTGTGAAGGGCGTCTCTTCACTCCTGCAGGTGGAGGCGGCGGCGGAGGCGCTGCAGAGCAGCGTCGCTAACGGGCCGTTTGGGAGGCAACTCTCTCTCTCCCCCCCTCTGTCCCTCTCTCTCCCTCTCCCTCTCTCCCCTCTCCCTCCCTCCCTCCCTCCCTCCCTTTTTTTTTTTTTCCCTTTTTCCCCTTTCCCTCCCTCCCTCCCTTTTTTTCCCTTTCCCTTTCCCCCCCCCCCCCCCTGCCGTCTGAAGGACTGACG